TATGCTAAATTTCATCAAAATCGGTTCAGTGGTTTAGGCGTGAAAGAGAGACAGACAGACAGACATACAGACAGAGTTACTTTCGCATTTATAATATTAGTATAGATTTATTTTGTATGACGTGATGTATCATGACGTTTCAGAACCGAATCGGTTTCACATAGGTATTTAGGCTGAGTTGCACCACACAATTTTAACCGTGTATTTTGTATGGAGTTTGACAGATTTTTCAAAGTTAAAGTAAAATGGTGCAACCCAGCCTTAGTAAGCTAATGTCAGAAGTACGTTTGAACACTCTAGTCTATACGTTACGTTAAATGTATGAAACCAATCTGATACATTACGAGACAGCACGACAAACAAATAAAATTAATCAAATAATCAGATTTTATCATTGGGACCAAAATATAAACAACTGTAACAATGTCAATAAATTGCGGTCGTAGTGTCGGTAATTAACTACATATTATACTATTACTAAATTGCTGAATATCCATTAATTGTACCATTTTATTTAATTATCTCTCTCGATTTACAGCCAGAAAAATGTGGTCAAATTCAGTTTACATTTGTATAACAGTTGTGGTCATCAGTTAGAGAACATATATTCTGTCAAGTGCTGGTAAAACTAGACACAATAGATATGACTTTTTACGCACTATCAACTCTTAAGATTCCAGTCTTTACGAAATAATTTTAAATGGCATATAATTTTACTATAATAAACAAAATAATAAACGAAGAAAACAATTTAATGTCTCAGAGGCAATAATTAGCATAACAGTGCTACGAAAACATGTAGATAGATAGATAGATATTTATTTGNTATGTATTTTTTTAGTATCGCCTGTTATTTAGCATTATTACTGTTTTTATTTTATCAGGATATACTGCTTAGTTTAAAAGTTATTACGTTTTCTTTACAATAAGTAATTGGAAGAAAAAAAATTCTATAAAAAATTTAAAAAAAATCTAAAAAAATGTTTTACCTCTTTTTTGTCGATAAAAATAGGTCTAGTTTCATCTATTTTCATATGTACACTTTAACGTGACTCACACTGTATAGATAGTATCACCATGGCGTAATAATTACTACTAAATGGCAATGCCAGATTTTGTATGGAAGGTGGCGTCTTTTTTTTTCGCGCGGCCATCGACCACACCTTATTTTTTGATTACAAAATAGTGTAATAAACCAAACTTACTATAACATGTATACCTCTAAACTCAGTCTGAACTGAGTTACGAGCATTAGAAGTTTGATGATTTTACATATTGGATTTGCTTTCTGCGCGCAAGTTTTGTAAGAAATTGCAACAATTGGTTTGGTCAATGGCCGCGCGAAAAAAAAAGACGTCAATTTCCGGCATTGTCTTTTTGAGCACTACTATTAATAATGACAATAATATCGTTTTTATTTTGTTGAGGGGCTATTTTAATGTTAGTTCAATGAAGTCCTAATATCACTGCGAGGTATCCCGCAAAAAACCCGTTCGTTTGAATTTCAAACACACACATTAGTGGGCTGAGTGTAGGGAATGCAAAACCGGTTAATCGGAAACCGAAAAATCGGAAAAACCGCTCTTTTTCGACGAATTCTAAAACCGGTTTTAAAAATCGAAACCCGGATTTAAATCGGTTTTTCTATCTGTATACACGTAACAAATTCCATAAATAAGCAATATCATTTTATTATAATATAACCTGAGTATTTTGATATTTGACGAATATTTGGTTATTTTACAATTTATAACTTGGCAACATTGTCACTTGGTTACTCCGTCGTTTACCTTTGAACAGGGAATCCCCGATAATAAGACTCTTACCGCCCGCGCCCACCACCTGACATGATCCACCCCGCGATTCAGATAGTTGGTGATTATTGCAGTGAATAATTAACCTAATGTGTGAGTGAATTGAACAGTTTTTATTTCTGAATTGTTTTGAACATTGAATCTCATTTATTTGCGATATCTGCAGAAGCTTATTACTGTAAAACTTTGTGTATTGAAATTTGACAGAAATACCACCTAACGTTCACAAATAAAGCTTTTTACATTTTATTCTACTTTTTAATTTAAGATATTGCTTATATCAATCGTAATTGTAAACAAATACGTTTTTGATGTACATTACGTACATGGTGGTAATTAACAAAATACTAAACCGACAGAGTAATGAATTTTAAAAACGTATTCGTTGACAATTATTACGTACAGTGGAGATAAACTACCATCCCTTGAGTTAAATTTAGCTTATTCATTATTCAGACGACTGGAATAAGGGGCTTTTAATTACTGTGCCAAAGAAAGGGGACCTAAGCCAGTGTAGCAATTGGAGAGGTATCACTTTGCTCTCGATATCGTCAAAGGTTTTCTGCAAGATTATCTTGGATAGGTTATCGGGGGCCGTTGAACCTCTTTTGCGTAGGGAACAGGCTGGCTTCCGCCCGAACCGCTCGTGCACCGACCAGATCAATACTTTGCGTATCATCTTGGAGCAGGCATCAGAATGGCAAAGGGAAGTCTATCTTACCTTTGTAGACTTCGAAAAAGCCTTTGATACGCTAAAGTGGGCAAGCATATGGTCGCGACTCGCTGACATTGGTGTCCCGCCGAAAATTATCGATCTACTGAAGGCCATCTACAAGAAATATTCTTGTAAAGTCACTCACGACGGCCTCATCTCCGAAGACATTGAGGAGCATGCGGGCGTCCGGCAAGGCTGCCTGCTTTTGCCGCTTCTCTTTTTGGTAGTCTTGGATGGAGTCATGTGTCGTGCATATCAAAACCAACGGCGTGGAATAGAGTGGGGTATAATCGGAGTCTTAGAAGACTTAGATTATGCCGATGACCTCTGTTTGCTGAGCCACACGCATCACGATATGCAATCCAAAATTGATGACCTACATCGAGAGGCGGGCATCACGGGGCTCAAAATTAACTGCCGGAAGACCCAAGAGATGCGATCTGGAGTGAGGAATTGCACACCATTACGGATTGGTGCAGAGGATGTGGAACGTGTCCACAATTTTACCTACCTCGGGAGCGTCGTGTCAGAGACTGGAGGTACCGAAGAGGACATCACTTCGCGCATTGCCAAGGCTAGAGCCACCTTCGCACAACTTCGCCCCGTATGGCAGTCACGGAAACTGACCCGAAGGGTCAAGATCAAAATTTTCGGGTCCAACGTTAAATCCGTGCTGCTCTATGGGTGTGAAACGTGGAAGGTCACCAAGGTCATCTCGCACCAGCTGCAGGTCTTCGTCAACCGCTGCCTTCGCCGAATTCTCGGCATATACTGGCCTGAGAAAATCTCCAACGTCGAGCTATTGGAACGCTGCCACGAAATTCCGATCGACCAGCAGATCAAGCGCCGCAAGTGGAACTGGATTGGCCACACTCTCCGAAGGGATCCCGATCACATCCCCAAGCAGGCTCTGGATTGGAACCCCCAAGGAAAACGCAAACGTGGTCGCCCCAAGCAAACTTGGCGGCGCACTGTGGCAGACGAGGCGAAGAAGATCGGCAAGACTTGGAGCGAGATCAAACACATAGCTCAAGACCGAACGCGATGGAGGACTGTTGTGGACGCCCTCTGCCTCTGCCTCTGGACGATCTAGGGGACATAGGACCATAAATAAGTCAAGTCATTATTCATTATGTGCCTATAATGCCTAATGAATAAGCTAAATTTATCAAAACTGTTGTGTAGGTGCAAATTGTAAACTAACATGCATGTATTTATTAGAATTATTACTGTATCACTTAAATCAAAGCTAGACTAAAACGAATGTTGTGTTCAGCTACAATCGGAGTGCAAATTAATTGTTAATTTTTGTTCAATGTACTTTATTTTTAAGCCATGATTTGCAATCTGTTGCTGTACCTTAATAAATAAATAAATAAATAAATAACCCTCTCTTAAATAATGTAATCTAACACAAAACGGACAGGACGTAACAAATCGCTGCATGTAACTACTAGTTGATTGAAAAAAAAAATAGAACGATAATAACCGATTAAAAACCGAAAACCGGTTTTTTTTCTTGGAAACCGAAAAAAAAATCGGTTTTTGATAAACTTTCGGTTTTGCATACCCTAGCTGAGTGTGAGTTTACATTTAATATACAAAAAATGTATGAAAATTTTAGTTTCTGAACGTTTCCGCTAGGGGCGCTGTACAATCCGTCATACATTTAATGTCATTTTTTACGCGCTCACTAGTGAGGACACTAGGCCAGTTTTGTGGGATACTGCATTACTGGATCCCTGCAGGATGTACTGGATTGCTGCCGCTGTATACGATTGCAGTGATAAAAGGCCCTAGCGCATAACTGACGGCCGATGGGGCAGCAAGGTTCTGGAATGGACGCCGCGTACCGGAAAACGCAGCGTGGGACGTCCACCCACAAGGTGGACCGACGACCTGATAAAGGTAGCGGGAAGGCGCTGGATGCAGGCCGCTGCCAACCGTGCGATGTGGAAGTCATTGGGGGAGGCCTATGTTCAGCAGTGGACGTCCTGTGGCTGAAATGATGATGATGATGATAAAAGGCCTATAACTTACCGACGCCGTCGTCCATGCCGGCCAAGCCGCCTTGTACAGTGGCGGAGTAGCCTTCAGGCGCGACGTCCATGTACTCATAAAGGAAAATAAGAAGATGGATAGACTACCAAAGAAGAAAAAGACACTCCAAAAGACCAAGAAGAAAAAGACCATTTAGAAGAAGAAGACACTTTAGAAAAAGAAGAAGATACTCGGAAGAAGAAGGCACACAGAAACTGTTGCTTTTTCTCCGTCTTCTTTCAGTGTCTTCTTCTTCTTCCGGAGTGTCTTTTCTTTTTATAAAGTGTCTTTTTCTTCTTCGTCTTTTGGAGTGTCTTTTTCTTCTTTGGTAGTGTCTTCATCTTCTTATTCTTCTGACTGAGTAAGACACTCAGAAGACGACACATAGACACTTTTTCTTCTTCGAGAGTGTCTTCTTCTGAATGTTTTCCTTTGAGTGTCTTCTTTCGAGTGCCTTATTCCGAGCATCTTCTTCTGACTGTCTTTTTCTTCTTCTGAGTGTCTTCGTCTTCTGAGTGTCTTCTTCTTCTGTCTTCTTCTTATTATTTTGGGTGATTTCTTCTTCTAATTATCTTTTTCTTATTTTTGAGTGTCTCCTTCCTCCTTTAGTGAGTGCCTTCTTCTGAGTGTCTTCTTGTATTGTAAGTATCTTCTTCTTCTGAGTGTCTTCTTATTAGTTCCCGCGTCAGCTAGACACATGACCTGATGATGATGATGATAAAAGACCTATAACTTACCGACGCCGTCGTCCATGCCGGCCACGATCCCTTGTACAGTGGCGGAGTATCCTTCAGGCGCGACGTGCGCCGCGTACCCCACTATACACGAGTAGCATAATGCGTAGGTCGGTCCTTGCATTGTGGACTGGCTGGCCTGGTGATGATGGCTTACCTACTCCATCGTCCATGAAGAAGACACTTCGAAAGAAGACTCCAAAAGAAGAAAAATAACCTCCAAAAGACGAAGAAGAAAAAGACACTTTAGAAGAAGAAAAGACACTCGAGAAGTAGAAGACACTCAGAAGACGACACATAGACACTTTTTCTTCTTCGAGAGTGTCTTCTTCTGAATGTTTTCCTTTGAGTCTTTTTTTGAGTGTCTTCTTTCGAGTGCCTTATTCCGAGCATCTCCTTCTGACTGTCTTTTTCTTCTTCTGAGTGTCTTCGTCTTCTGAGTGTCTTCTTCTTCTGTCTTCTTCTTATTATTTTGGGTGATTTCTTCTTCTAATTATCTTTTTCTTATTTTTGAGTGTCTCCTTCCTCCTTTAGTGAGTGCCTTCTTCTGAGTGTCTTCTTGTATTGTAAGTATCTTCTTCTTCTGAGTGTCTTCTTATTAGTTCCCGCGTCAGCTAGACACATGACCTGATGATGATGATGATGATGATGATGATAAAAGGCCTAAAACTTACCGACGCCGTCGTCCATGCCGGCCACGATCCCTTGTACAGTGGCGGAGTATCCTTCAGGCGCGACGTGCGCCGCGTACCCCACTATACACGAGTAGCATAATGCGTAGGTGGGTCCTTGCATTGTGGACTGGCTGGCCTGGTGATGATGGCTTACCTACTCCATCGTGGCGAACTCAGACAGAAGAATAAGATGATGAAGACACTACCAAAGACGAAGAAGAAAATGATACTTTATAAAAAGAAGAAAGAAAAAGACACTTAAGACGAAGATGACACATGAAGCAGAAGACACTGAGAAGAAAGCAAGAGAAGATACTTATAGGTATCTTGTTCTGAGTGTCTTCTTTCGAGTGTCTTCTTCTGTCTTCTTTTAGGTATCTTCTTCTGAGTGCCTTCTTCCGAGTATCTTCTTCTGACAATTTTTTTCTTCTTCTTCTGAGTGTCATCTACTTCTTCTGAGTGTCTTCTTCTTCTTCTAAGTATCTTCTTCTTCTTCTTTCTGAGTTTTCTACTTCTTGAGTGTCTTCATTTAGAGGTGTTTTCTTCTTCTTCCGGAGTATCTTCTTCTTCTTCTGAGTGTCTTCGTGTCAGTTAGAAGACACTGAGAAGAAAGCAAGAGAAGAAGATACTTAAAAACGTTTTCTTCTCCTTTTTAGAGATAAGTGTCTTCTTCTTTTTTCGGAGTGTCTTCTTCTTAGTGACTTTTTCTTCTGAGTGTCTTCTTCTTCCTCCAAAATTCTTCTGTTTCTTCTGAGTGTTTTTTTCTTCTGAGTATTTTTTTCTTCTGAGTGTCTTCTCTTCTTCTTCTTCCTCCAAATTTCTTCTTTTTCTTCTGAGTGTTTTTTTCTTCTATCTTAGTGACTTTTTATTCTTCTGAGTCTTCTATTTCTTCTAAGTGTCTTTTTCTTCTGAGTATCTTCTTCTTCTTCTGAGTGTCTTTTTTTTCTTTCTGAGTGTTTTTTTCTTCTGAGTATATTCTTCTTCTTCTGAGTGTCTTCTTGTAAGTATCTTCTTCTTCTCAGAGTCGTCTTTCGAGTTCCCGCGTCAGCTAGTCACATGACCTGATGATGATGATGATAAAAGACCTATAACTTACCGACGCCGTCGTCCATGCCGGCCACGATCCCTTGTACAGTGGCGGAGTATCCTTCCGGCGCGACGTGCGCCGCGTACCCCACTATACACGAGTAGCATAATGCGTAGGTCGGTCCTTGCATTGTGGACTGGCTGGCCTGATGATGATGGCTTACCTACTAATACCTACTCCATCGTCCATGAAGAAGACACTTCGAAAGAAGACTCCAAAAGAAGAAAAAGAACCTCCAAAAGACCAAGAAGAAAAAGACACTCTTTAGAAGAAGAAAAGACACTTTAGAAGAAGAAAAGACATCCAATAAGAAGATAACACATGAAGAAGAAAGCAAGAGAAGAAGATACTAAAAACGTTTTCTTCTTCTTCTTCTCTTTAGAGAGAGGTGTCATTCGTCTTCTGAGTAGCTTCTTCTTTAGAGTCTTCTTCCGAATGTCTTTTTCTGAGTGTCTTCTTCCATGTGTCTTCTTTCGAGTGCTTTATTCTTCTGAGTGTCTTTTTCTTCTGAGTATCTTCTTCTTCTTCTGAGTGTATTTTTTTTCTTTCTGAGTGTTCTTCTTTTTCTTCTTCTGAGTGTATTCTCCGTCTTCTTTCAGTGAGTGCTTTCTTCTGAGTGTTCCTGCGTCAGCTAGACACATGACCTGATGATGATGTGTAATGATGATGATGATGATGATGACAATGACTTACCGACGCCATCGTCCATGCCGGCCACGATCCCTTGTACAGTGGCGGAGTATCCTTCAGGCGCGACGTGCGCCGCGTACCCCACTATACAGGAATAGCATAATGCGTAAGTGGGTCCTTGCATTATAGACTGGAAGAAACACAAAAAAAGGTTTCATTTTAGCGATGTACCTGATATCCGATGGTATTTTTTGGCTCTGGTACACTTGAAATATCTTTTCGCGAAAGTGACCCTGCGCGCAAATGCTTTTAACACTTGTGGATTCGCTCAAGTGTCTTTCGCGCAGGTGTCCTAATACGTACTGTTGCTGCATAATTGATAGTAGGTAGGTACACATTAAAAAAATAAAGACCACTTTTGAGTGACTTTTGGGGTTAAAAGTGGTTTTTGACCAAGAGCGTTGAAAAGTCAGTCAAAAATTATTTCGTCTGATTTAAAATTTACCAATCAGTCAAAATTCATATAGATGACCCACGCTGAACTGTCCCACCAAACTTAATGACAGGGGGGCGCTACCATCGTTCAACTATATGGTTTCCGACATGGCAAAAATCGAAACCAGCGATCCGGTATTGACGGTGGCGCCCCACTGTCAATGTCAGGGGTAGGACAGTTCAGTATTTTGGAACTATACAAAGTTTTGATTAATAACTTCTACAATCAGTGCTGTAGACAATAATGAAAACATAAAAATATCGGTATTCCGTTACGTTACTGATCGTAACGGAATACCGATATTTTTATGTTACCGTCGAAACGATATACCGGTAAAAGTATTTATGTTTTAAACTTACAGGGTGTTAGGTAAATGGGTATATGAGCCGACACTAGCCCATGTTAACATGGTCATATAAATGGTATGGTGAAGTCAGAAAATTGATATCTTCATTTTAATTATTTTATTTTTCATACAAATCGGATTTTATAAAATTAATTTTGTATGAAAAAAAATAAAATAAAATGATGATATCAAATTTCTGACTTCACCATACCATTTATATGCCCATGTTAACATGGGCTAGTGTCCGCTCATATACCCATTTACCTAACACCCTGTATATTTTTTTAGAAAGTTGAAAAAATCGATTGCCTCATCCACCAAACCAAAGGTAGTGGGTTCGAATTCCACCGAAAGCAATACAATGTGCTCCTTTTGTTTTCCGGAAATTTTAGGGGTATGTTCTATAAATAAAAACTAGTTAAAGTCTTAGGAATATGTGTTTCTAAAAGCATATTTTTGAAGATAATGTGGATTCTAGATTTAGAAGATACCTAGTTGATTTATAGTATTATCAATCTAGTTTTTTTTTTCGAAATTGTCACCTAGTCCTTTTGTATTATGAATTATTTCAGTGAAAAATAGTACAGTTAAGTTTTTACATGGTTATTGAACTATGACGGATAATTTCGAATGAAAAAATAAGTCGAAAAAAATTAATGAATTTTACAATAAATGTAATGCCATTCCATTTTTTGAAGTGGTCTTATTAATACCCTAAAGTTCCAGGTAATCAAAAAGAGCACGTTGTATATTTTTTCGAGTTATTTTTTTTAATTTCTAAGATCATATACGTACCTCGATGAAGACCAAATGCCACGGGTGCTGTATGAGCGATATAAACACCATTCTCAGCCCATAGCACAGTAGCGAGAACGACATGGTCGGCCCGTAGCCCCAACGCTTTATTATTTTACCTGAAACGACGAAAAAAGCTGATAGATTACTTTATTATATGAATAAACTAGCTTTCCGCCAACGGCTTCGCCCGCGTGGACTCCGAAAACCCCAAATATTTTAGGGAACCCTATTTTTTCCAAAATAAAATATAGCCTATGTTACTCGTGGATAATTTAGCTTTCGAATGGTGAAAGAATTTTTAAAAACGGTCCAGTAGTTTTTGAGCCTATTCATTACAACCAAACAAACAAAGTTTTCCTCTTTATAAATTAGTGTAGATAAGGACTATTCCCACCTCTCGTTCCTGCATTTTCATTCTCCATTTGCTTGCAAATAGAGAGGGTTGTCTTTCTGCAGTGGAAAATAACGTCCGTATTCATAAACACGACTACGAGTTCTCACAGTGCGCGTGGGCGAACCGGGTGACACAGAGCTCTATTCAACGCAGTGCGTTCGATTTGCTACTTTCACTTAAGCAAGCATCATTTGTGAATACGGGTCATCCAAAAATGTTTCATCTAAAAAAAGGTCATTGCAAAGTTTTTTTTTAGCAGACTTGACCCCGTCTATTCCGGAGCCCTGGTAATCTTCTTAAAGTCTACAGTCTAATGGTTCATCTAGACTCGGGAGCTCTTTAGACCGGGGGCCCTAAATGAAAAAAAATGTAAATGAAAAAATATTTATTCAGTATCTTTAAAGTTTACATATTATTGCAAATGGCTGGGGTCTCGTTTTAATTATAATACCTGAGTTAGGAGGCCCCGCTCTTTCTTAAAATACAATAATACAAATAACTTACCCGAGAAGTAGAAAAACAGCAGTTCCCCAATGAAACTTTGCCCGGCGACCACCACGCCCTCTATGAGCTTGATCTGCGCCATGTGACCCGTCTTCTCTGCTAGCTCTTCCAAAAACCTGCGCGCGCGCACAAAATCAAAAGTGTCTGTATTTCTCTGAACTAATTAAATCTATACTTCTATACTAATATTACAAATGCGAAAGTAACTCTGTCTGTCTCTCTTTCACGCCTAAACCACTGAACCTATTTTGATGAAATTTGGCATAGATATATTTTGAGCCGGGAAACACCATAGGATAGTTTTTATCCCGGTTTTTGAAACAGGGACGCTCGCGATAAATTTTTTCTGTGACAGACAAAATTCCACGCAGGCGAAGCCGCGGGCGGAAAGCTAGTATTATTATATTATACAGGGTGGAATTTTGTAATGCCACCTGAAGGGAAAGTACTCTTAATACTGTAGATAGAAAATGTTACTCAAAGAAAACATTTCTTTATTTTTGAAAAGAAATAGAACTGCATTTAATGATTTCCAAAAATTTGCTTGCTACACTCGGGAATCGAACCAACTAAAATCTGTTAAAAATTACACTCTGTATTTTTATTGCATCGATCGTTAGGGTTAAGTATAAGGATGAAATCTCTCTAACAAACTTGATAAATGAAAGGAAAAGCATGAAATCTTAAATTATTGTAATTATTTACATAAAATTGTATGGTATGGTGGTAATTTTTTGAAAAAATTTCGAAAATCTTTGAATGCAGTTGTCTTTCTTTTCAAAAATAAAGGAATGTTTTCTTTGAGTAAAATTTTCTATCTACAGTATAAAGGGTACGTTCCCTCCAGGTGGCATTACAAAATTCCACCCAGTATAGTAGGATTGTTAAATGGTCCATTTAAATAAGGCTGCGGACCCCCATACATAATTATGCTCGCGGACCACAGGTTAAGAAACACTGCTCTGAGTATAGAGTACTATACTCACTTTAAGACTACAGACTACAGAGGCTGTTAAGAACTCACCAGAACATATAGTAAATGATGAAAGAGTCGAAGGTGCCGGCCACCACGGCGAAGACAATGAAGACCAGCACTCGTGGCATCTTCAGCACTTGGCGCAATGCCGCGCCCGAGTCTTCGGGACTGCTGAGAGCTGGCAGCTGGAATTTAAGTCATAAATATTTAACCCTTTATACAACACGGCAAGCCACTTTCTAAAGCTACGGGACTATTCCCACCTCTCGTTCCCGCCGCTGCAACTCCTGTGTGGCCAGGATCTACAGCTTGACCGCCAATAACCCAACCAGTGAAGGTCAAGTTTGTCCCGGGGGAAAGTTAATACGGCATACCCTTTATACGGCAGTGGGAATATGGTTACCACCATATTTTGAACTTCAGTTTATTTCCTTGTATATCCAAATATTATGAAAAGTTTGAACTTGTTATGGTCGTTAAAGGCTTAAAAATATGTAGTATCCAGTTTAATTTATAAAATTATATTTTTTTTAACTATACCTACTTACCCACTGTTGTTTAGGCCCAAGGGGGTATGCATGAAAATAATAATTTCAGTTAACATTAGCATTAACAGTTGGGATAATCAATAAATAAATTAGTAACAAAACGGCAAATTACTATAAAGATAAATGATCTATGTAATTGTACTGGGACACAGCAACAATCAGTTTGCAGGTTTGATGGACAATACACCTTATATCCACAGCTGTAGGGACTGTTTTAGCGTTACCTAGATACATGCAGTCAATCTGAATCTCTTAGAATGTCCAGCTGTAAATTTTACGGCATTAGAGTAATTCGCGGAACAATATTATACCCTATATTCACAGCTGTAGGATCTATTTTAGACGAGCAACTTCCCTGACCTTTTGACCTGAGTTGATGCACCTTTGTCCCCATCTAGAGGAATATACACCTTATGTCTGTAGCTAAAGGGTTCATTTTGGCATGTACTCACAGTAAGAGCCCTACAGCTGTACAGGTCCACGGCTGTAGCAGCTATGGCGACCACGAACGCCGGAGTGAAGTCCTTATACTCCCCGGCAGACACCGAGTCCACCAGCCATCCAAGTTA